CAGACTATCAAATGATGTGTAAGTGAAAATACATAACAGGAATTTACATCCCACCCTGTCATCGGTAATGCAGTCACCGAAATAAGTTCTTCTGCATTTTAAATTAGATTCCAATTTGAATTAATATGGTGACTGCATTACCGATGAAAAGGTATATGTCCATGCTAATTTTGCATTTTCTCTGTATTCTACGCTCTCTGCGTTTTGGTCAGTGTTGTCATCGAAAATTCCCTTGATTGCGAGTTAAGTTTGGGAATTAACTCTAGGACTTAATCCGGATCAACTGCAGTTAATTCCCGAGATAATTCCGGATTGACGGGTTGATCCAGATCAACGCTGCCGTCTGTCTATGCTTTTAGTCACTTAAATACTTTGCAGTTCCTCGTTTTTGAGATCCAGAAGAAAAGGGGACGCCTCAATGTTTCTAGTAGCATGGTGTAGCTCACGGTATCGCAATCAACAGCATTGTAACAGCATTAAAAATTCCCCCAAAATGGTTTCTGGAGAAATAGCTGCAGTGATAGTCCTCCGCCAGATATATGTATATGTACTTACATCTGGATGGTTCCAACTACGTAGAGTTTACTGTCTAGATAATTCCTTTGCAACTAAGTTTTGGTACAGGGGTGACCAAGATTATGGCTATGTGGTTTTGAAAGTTAAGTGCTATGTGTGCATTAACTCAATGAGAGGGGACGGATGAATGTATTCAAGATAACCATCAATTACCACCTCTGCATGCTTGTAGGCCATGCTAAGTTCCTATGACTTTTGCCGGAAGATTTTTTGGTGGTTGCGTCAAGGCTAGAGTTCAGCAATTTTTGAATTTCCAGAAACTTAGTACTTCAGCAAGTTCGTCATATTGACATTTGAAAAGTGCACAAATTTCTTCGCATATGCAGCTTTTTTGCACATAAATATGAGTGCATGTGCTTTGCTTTTGGTTTGGCTTAGACACTATATTTTGTAAGTTGTCTAAACAGGTGTTTTATTCACTTTTCGATGGCATGTTTGTGCTTAGCTGAGCTTATACGATGCGAAAAGTATGATAGCTCTGAATTGTCTTTACGGCTGGGAAGATTAGACTTCACCCGCTTTGCTGAGTCTTTTCAGAATTTCTATACACATACATACATATTTCGACTAGGTCTGGATAAGTAGGAGTGCAACCTGATACAGCATCTAAAACGTAACTGCACCAAAGTTACGGTGACTTCACGGAAAAGCTGAAGCTTTTTACCTGCTAGAAATAGCGCATAGATTTCGCTTATATCATTTGCGGGATGAAAGTTCATGAATTGTAGGTAGTTGGTTTTAAATTCTCAGCTCCAAAAAACTTCAATTTTAGGATCTATGTACGTGCAGCTGCAACAACAATATTAACATAAATTCCGCTCTTAAAGATATTAAATCAATATTTAATTAAACTTACATTTTCCACTAGTTCTTTTACAAATTTTACCACTGTACAATTGCGATGAAGGAAAACCCAATTCAAGTGAAGGACAAGCAAATGTTTATAATCCCAGTATATAAAAATAATAATTTGTCCTTGAATAACACAAGTATTGAATCTATTACAATGGGTTACACAGGTTCGTTGTTTTGCTTAGAGAACAATAATCCGAAATGATTTTTTTTTTAGCAAATTCAAAAATATCTACAATTAAAATATTTAAAAATAGTAGAGGTTTACACATTAGTTCAACACAATGCTATAATAAACTTTAAGCGATGTCTTACAAAGACGCAGTAACCTTCCAGATTTATATTATAAATTTTAGTAGGTACTTTTCACAAATTACTGCACAGAATTAATCAAGCTGCTTTGACTTCGTCATCAATTCCAACTTTTGTAACTTATCACTAGAAATTTGTGAACAGCAGCCGTGAACACTAGTCAGCCACAAGTACATAAAATAGTAAAAAATCTGCGAATTATAATTAAACTATTCATACGTACATACATATGTATGCAGATGTCCATAGCTAAATATGTATGTATGTACCTTTGCTTATCACAATTTATGATAACTGATGCATCAGAATAATATCACTGACAACATCAGTTAGAGCAAACAAATAAAATTCAATTGGAAAATATTTGCAACAATTCAACGGCAACAGAAACTTTGAAACTACGTCGACAACTACGACAACGACCACGAAACGAAACTTCTGATGACATCACTAAAATTTAATGCATTGTTGTTGCTGCTGGCGATGTGCCTGCCTTTTCTTGCTTTTGTTGCCGTTGTTGTAGTAATTACTCAGTGCTCACGAAATTGTAAACAAACTCCGAGTTTTGCCTTTGAACATCATTCGCAAGAGCGAGAACACTATATTCACATTCTTTGCACAGTCGCATTGACACATTCATCCTCGACTCGGTCGCGATGGTTAACCGAAAGATGACGTTATAGGAAAATATATTGTTGCTTTTTTGTTTTTGTGTTACATTGAGTGTGTAGTGCAGTGATTACCTAAAAACTTGATTACAATTTCACTGAAGAATAATCGCAGCGAACATTTAAACTGCATTAGTCACACGACACTTTCGCATAACTCAAATCCACTCTTCACAATTATTTTGCTCCAAAACTGAAAATAAATTCAGAAAATCACTATACCAATGTAAACCCGACCCGACTTCACAACACACTTTTCCCATATTGTACACTTTCTTGAATTTCTCGTTCAATTAGTGCAGCAGTTTGCTCCCTCGCACACGATAGAATAAGTCAGAGAGTGAGAAAGTCATATAGAACTTGTTAATTAACTTCTCACCATGAGCATATATGCAATACTTTTGTGTTGGTAGCAGTGTTGCCGTTATTTGACCAAACGGGCAATTTGAACCTTCTTAAGCGCCAATACCCTGTGACCCGACTTTTTGAATTATGATTTTTTTACCCTTTTCCAAAATTATGTGCGACTTTTGCCCCTTTTCAGAAATTTGTTTAGTAAATGTTAACAGCACCATTCCATTAAAAAATATTTCCTCCTGTATGTTCTAAAAAATGCATCACTTAAAATTTTACAACAAAATACAACTCGTTGCAGCAACTAGATTTACTAGTGAAGCCACATGGCGTTAAAATGTCCAAAAATGAATTTCGAAAACCTAAAAAATCCTCCAAATGCTAGTCAGAGTTATAAGCAATCTGAGTGTCATATTTCACCTTAATCCGTGCTCCAAGTAAAAAAAAATATATGGCCTTTATCCCACATCTACAGGCCAAGGTCTTTAATTTGACTTCTTATCTTTGAAATTAAAAAAAAAAAAAGAAAAGTATTTTCGAACTCAAATCATCTTACGTCTCTTTCGTCTGAATTTTATTGTGATACATATTTGAATTAACTGATGAAAATTTGATTAAATCAAGCATGTGTTAAACTCCGCTAAATGGTGAAACGCTTTCTTTCCAAGTTTTGGTGCTTTTTGAAACTCAAGAGTTGGCAGCACTGGATTTGGACATACATTCCTACATTCCTATACATTCAGGGCTGCATTTTATTATACTAAAATCAAGCGTATTTTAGAGTAACCGGTTTTAGAGCATGAATGAATGCCTTTATGCCGCGCTTTTGCTGGAAAAGTGGAATATTCCTAATTCCATGTTCTGACCAACACGAAAACACTTTGAAAACGAGTTTTGGGATTGTGGGCTGAAGGCTGTTCTCACCGGCTGTTAGTGTTTTTTTGTTGACATTTCTTACTTCTTTTGTTTACAGTTTTCTACAAAAAAAAAAAACTAAAAAAAAAATTATTTTCTTTAATTTTCCTTTAATTAACAACCTTTTCCTTTTTTTCTTTATGACTTCCACTCCGATAAATACCACCATATTCTGACCGGCATCGAATACATGTATTCGTTGCTAAAACTGGTTTTCGACCTAAAACCAGTTTTCCCTTAAAACTACTTGAAAACTCAAGCTCCACTCATTGGTGGTAGATCTCAGGTTATGGATCAAACTTTGTACAAAAATTAAAGAAATTCTGTAAGGTTTCACCTAAATTGCAAACTTTTTAATTAGACTATCAAAGTGCTAGATTGAAGTTGCTAAAAATTGCATTGAGTTTTGGCAATTTTTTCCTTGACAGAGTAAAGCGGTTCCTTCCATATCAAAATAATTTTCGAACATAAATTTTTTTGCAACCTTTCGGAGTGCTGTCAGAGTTTCATTCTATCACATCACGATGTAGCGAACAAATGTGGCACGTTACAGAAACCGCTACTTGTGATTTGCCGGTTTTGACAATTCTCAAGTAAATGTAAACAACGCTTCAGAAACTTTAGGTGCACTGAAATTTGCTAATACTTTCACAAAAATCGCCGTTTTTTTAATTTTCGCTATTAATTTTTTTTATAAATCATATATTTTAAATTTTAACGTTTCCTGTCGAAAAATTTATTATTGAGGAAATCTACTATTTTACAGTTTATTTTAGCCTCCCATTCAGCTTTGTTTACTTTTACTTCAGAAATTTCCGGGATTGCGGAATCTTGTATTATATCATTCTTGTTACCATATAGTGTTTAGGGCTGGACAATTTTTGCTCTTAGAAAATTATGTCGAGTAAATATAAAACTAGGTACTCAAAAACGCGAATATATGGTAGGTTTCAGTCCTTGTGTGGTAGATGCTCAAAAAAGTGGCAGATCTACCACAATGTGGTAGGAATCCGATCACTGCCGATGAGTGTTACCGTTGAGCGACTAAAGGGTCAAATTGGCACTTTTTGGATATCGATGCCCCAGACACCGACTTTTTAGAAATATGCTTATTTTGAAACTTTTCTTAAAAATCATGCGACTCTTGCCTCTTTTCTCTGACTAAAAATTCTATACATATATATTTTGACATTTTTTCATAAAATATATTTCGTTTCTTACATATTTAAAAAAGCTTTTAGTATTTACTTTTCAAATGCGTGCACCGTTCTTGTAGCGTAGCAATTGCCCAAGTTATTTGTGTTAAACTCATTTTCGTAGCTCCCGGTATAAACAAATAATTTACGATAATTTATATGCAAGCTTAAAGCGCTAAACTTTGTTATAATAATTGTTATCTACTAATGTTGCGTTTGTGTTATATTGATGTAAGTACTTTTTTAACTGCAATTTTGTTTTCATAATAAATGCAAAATATGCATATTGCAAATTTTTAATATATCCCTCATCAATAGGGATGCAAACGATGCATCGATGTTTTTGAAACATCGATAATATCGGTCCAATTTTCGATGTTTGCTATCGATGTTTACAATTTACTAACATCGCGAAATTGGTGGAATTCGATGGAAGTTTTACCGATGTTTTAAACATCGACTTTAAGGAGACTCTCCGACTTTCTCTCGGTGTGTTTGACTGACCTTAAATTTATTATTCATTCAGATTTTTTTTTGATATTTATGCTCTTATAACAATTATGTTCAGCCATTTTTTATGAAANCCAATTTTCGATGTTTGCTATCGATGTTTACAATTTACTAACATCGCGAAATTGGTGGAATTCGATGGAAGTTTTACCGATGTTTTAAACATCGACTTTAAGGAGACTCTCCGACTTTCTCTCGGTGTGTTTGACTGACCTTAAATTTATTATTCATTCAGATTTTTTTTTGATATTTATGCTCTTATAACAATTATGTTCAGCCATTTTTTATGAAAAGGTTATAGCTGCAATTTCGGAGATCACCACTTCTCCTCAGTGATCGCGGTTGTGATTAGTAGATGTAACCCTGCAGGACTAGTGAATCAAATTTCTAGTTCCGTACTAGGTCTTTATTGCCAAA